TCCAACCTTTCATTTGACCTAGTCTTGTGTTCTCGCGAGACTAGGTCACTCCGTGATCAAGATGTACAGTGGACATCGAAAATTTGTGTACATGTTTGTACCTTTCAAAAGAGTTACTGATTGAGGAATATACATATAACTACTAACTGATATTTCTACGTGACTGATGAACCTCTTCAACGATATTCTACAAAGGGAAAGGAGAAGAACAACTTGGTTGAGTCTCGAAAAAATACTGGCTATCTTGTGGCAAATTATGATGTACTACAAGTTTTGTGCGACCAATAATTTGCTTGCAGATATAAATGTTTTTTTGTTACACATCTTTGGTTAACAATTTTGTTATTTTAATCAGACACCACACCAACCCTGTTGGTACTGAGTGGAGGTGGAAAATGGATGATCCTCAGGCCATCCTGGATGGAGCCATGAAAAACCACTACAACCTCATCAAACAGTTCAAAGGTCAGTCATAGTCAACATACATGAGACACAAATCCATGCAACAGATAGTGGATTCGGATTTATACGAGGCCTAGCCGTGAAGTTGAAGGGAATCTATATGATAGATGCAAATTCAGTGTAAGGTACATTTCAAAGCATACACTAGAGTAGAGTTCTAGCCAGCGTCTAGCCGGCATAACACACAAGCTTCTGTTTCTGTATAGCCGGTATAACTGCCCTTCAGCATAGCACACATTGTCAAGCTTCTGTATCTGTATAGCCGGTATATAATAACTGCCCTTCAGCGTAACACACCATTTCCACACGTCCTTGTTGGGTAAACATCATCATGGAAATAGATGAAGAGAGATGTCATTCAAGTTAGCTTAAGTCTACTAGCAACATTTCCTGCTAGGAAATAACAAGTTAGAGGGTCAATATTTTAAAATTTGCCCAAGGAGCATGAACCCTTGGTTGTACCTCTTTGGCACACGACATTATGCTACAATGTCTTAAAAAATTGAGATGCCGAAAAAAAAATTTCAGGCTGGCTAGAACACTGCACTGTAATGTAGGCACACTATAAAACTGACAGACTTCATTCCTGACCAGGAGTGCCGGGTGTGAAGGCAGAGCGGTTGGCAGAAGCCATGGATGTCCAGCACTGTGCCCTGTCCCTGGTGGGAGAACCCATCATGTACCCACAGATCAACACGTTTGTACAACTGCTGCATAGGCACAGGATCTCATCCTTTCTGGTCACCAATGCACAGTTTCCTGATGCTATCAGGTGGGAATTACAGTCATTAGATATATGCACATTAGGCCACACCAATTTAATTTGTTGGTTCTCGGATTCGCCTCTTCATTTTTTTCTGATTTGCAAAAAAAAAAAAAAGATTCTGGTTCTGAATCAACTCAAAAATGCTCATATTTTGCCCCCAACAGTTGAGGAAATTCCTTTTCTTCCTAGTTGTTACAGTTTTTTCCATCTATCAAGGCAGTGGTTTGATTAAAAGTTCAAAATTTATACTTTAAATTTTAACCCAGCCTTTTTTGTTGACTTCATGGCTCATATTGTAGCATTTGGGGCTATAATAGGATGCCTAGACCTGTTTTTATTTTTATTTTTTTTCGCCCTGTCGCTTCATATTTTTTCTGAAAAAATCCGAGAACCAACAAATTAAATTGGTGTGGCCTTATAACTTGTTTTCAGACGGTGATGCGTACATGAGCTATATTACCAGCTTTCTAGCCAGTGTCCATGTTTCTGTCATTTGATGGAATTTTGCTTCGCTCACTTTGGCCTCACCAATTTAATTTGTTGGTTCTCGGATTTTTCAGAAAAAATATGAAATGACAGGGCGAAAAAAATAAAATGAAACTTTATTGCATGTTCATTCCCCGGGGGGATAAATGCATGGATGTACAAAGTACAATGTACTAAAAGGAAATTACAACAAGAAGCCATAGGCGACAATTCTCCGTGAAGTATTATATATTGCAACAAAAAGAAGTAGCCATTGGCGACAATTCTCTGTGAAGTGTGATAAATCGAACAAAGAAAAATTGTTTAAACGCGCGTCGGCTCAGTCATCTTAAGACGCAACAACCAATCAGAGATGCGAGATGCCTACACGTGACGCGGGAAGGGCGCGCGATGCCCGAAATATTTTTGCGTCAATATTCAGCGCCGTGATTCAAGAGATTAATACCCGGAAACAATTTTTTTCTTGTTTTGAACGCATTAACATGCATTTACGCTAATCTAGTATGATTCAGGGTTACTTTTTTTTAACCTGCCATGGCCAGATTATCTAAAGATGTGTGTATTGTGTGTACAATCTATAGAAAGAGAAATGTACATCAGGTCCGATCATCCGATTTTCACGTTTCGGTTTTTTGGACTCGGTTCATGAACGTATTTTGGTTTGGCTCCTGGAATGTGCAAAAAAATGACTCCCGGGACTGTCTACAGGGAACACTCGCACATTCGCGGTGTATCAGGACAGCGCGACTGGTCGTCATTAGCGCAGTAACAGTTGCATAAACGGACGAAACCATTTCAAAGAAATGGGGATGTTTCGAAAATAAGCATTTACTCCAATATCAAAACAGCTACGGTAAAAATAAAAAGACGTGCATCATCCCGGACATAATGCAACACCACATGCGAAATTACACAGAAATGCGACGTACGGAAGAATGCGTTTTGGCTGCGAACATCTTCCAAAAAACTTGGCATCTCTTAACCATGGGCAAAAACATCTGGAACCACTTATAAAAACCACCCCGTATCTGCATGAACTTTTTTGAACCCCACTGCTATTCCAAACAACGCGTTTTTCTGGACCATTCCAATTCGCCTCGTAATTGTAGGGGTGCGTCTGCGATATTACATTGACCGCGAAAGCAGCAACGGCAAAAATACACATTCGTGCATCAACACGGGCATGCCCGCAGACGGCGTATAAAATTGCGTGCCGATTACACAAAGAGAACCCAGTGTTTTGACTGCGAACATGAAAAATCAGCCGATTACAACACTCCGTCCGGAGGTCCTGACCTCCTTCACGGAGTAACAATAAACAGGTCCAGGCATCCTAAGTCGAAGAACTGAACATGTAATTGTTTTTTCCAGGAACATGGACCCAGTGACCCAGCTGTATGTAAGTGTGGATGCCAGCACTAAGGACAGTCTGAAGAAGATAGACAGGCCTCTCTTCAGGGACTTTTGGCCCAGATTCTTGGACAGCCTGAAAGCTCTGTCTGAAAAGGTACATAATATAATTACATTACACAGTTTTGTATGCTACTGTATGTTCGTGTTCGTGTCTGTTGCTGATGGTATATTTTTGTGATTTTTAAGCATTTAGAACACCTTACTTTTCTTTGTCTGTAGAAAATTCTTTTAATAGCACACACTATAATTGTATCATAATGACCATAGGGATTCAAAGTAATGTAATTCTAAAATCTTTGTGACTACCAGGGCCAGAGGACTGTGTACAGACTGACTCTGGTGAAGGCGTGGAATGTGGATGAGATTGAGAACTATGCACAACTGGTGGAGATTGGCAAGCCAGACTTTATTGAAGTGAAGGTGAGTGTTTAGAATGAACTGCAGTTGGGGTAGAACTACCATAAAAATTAAAAGTCAAAGTGGAAAACAAGACTTCAGAGATCTCAGACCTCCATAAAAAATTAGATCTTGTGTGATGGTGATTGCGTCTTCTTCTTATTCACCAAAACACCTGAGAAAACAGTGAGAGCTACCAGATGTAAAAGTGACTAATGACTTCCTCCCTCTGCAACATTACAACCTGACCTAAGAGTCATGCTGAAACACAGACACACGTATGGACATACACACACACACAAGGAAACACATACACACATGGACGAACACACAAACACACACACACCACCACCACCACCACATGAATTAAATTTCATTTTTGGGTTAGCTTAGTAACCTTATTGTTGTTTTATAGGGAGTAACCTACTGTGGAGAGTCCAAGGCCAGTAGTCTGTCCATGGCAAACATCCCATGGCATGAAGAGGTGGTCAACTTTGTACAGCAGCTAGCAGACCAGCTTCCCGCCTACGAGATCGCCGCCGAGCATGAACACTCCAACTGTGTGCTCCTGGCCAATACAAAGGTGATGCACTTTCATTCAAAACTGATAGGGGTCCTACTTTCATCACCAAAAGGCTGCAGTTTCAGTAATAGTTCCCTTTAAAGTCAAAACTATACATTCTAATCACAATAGCATGACAGATGAATATGCAAAACGTCTACCGTTGTTTAAAGTTAAAGTTTTCTTCCAACACAAAGTTTCAGTTTCAGTTTTTTCTTACCTAAAACTTTTGTCCAGTCACTCTGATCTTCTTCAATAGACTGGCCCAGAAGAGTGACAGGTCAAAGCCCTAGGTTATAACTATCCTTAAGTTTGTATTGGTGTGGAATCCCCAAAAAAGTTTAAACTCTAAACACAGATGAAATTTCATGATAGTATGTCATTTGTAAGTGATAATATTCCTTTTTGTTACAGTTTAAGAAGGGTAGTGAATGGTGGACATGGATCGACTACCCAAAGTTCCACCAGCTGATAGCAGACTACACTGACAGTGAGGGTGACAAGATGTTCAGTGCTGAGGACTACATGGCTAAAACTCCCGGCTGGGCTGTGTTTGGGAGCAGGGAACAGGGGTTCGATCCCCAGGAGACCAGATGGTACAGGAAGAACAGAAAGGACATTTCTGGATGTTAGCATATATGGCTTTAACATTAAAAATTGCAGTCTCTTTTGTTCATAAAACTTTGCAAGCTAACAAGGCTTAAAAACTTACTTCACAGTATAAAAGGATACATTTATGCAAGAAACTGTTAACATAAGTGAAGGTACCAATTTTTCAGTTTCCATGTAGTAATAATAGCATGCTTAAAGGATGCTTGGATGCAGCTTTGTTCATCTCTAAGGTGCTTTCTAAGAAAGGGATATAGAACACTGGTGAAACTCAAGATAGATAGAAATGGAAGCTAATACAGCACTTCTCTATATGAAATGTGTTAGAGTCAGACTATTCTGATCTGATTCTATTTACATCTTACTTCTTATCTTTAATTCATATAGGCAGGGAAAGGGCCATATCAGTAGACTTTTATGTTGTGCAGGTACATGTGTAGATACAACACACACTTTGTATCTATGGTGAAAATACATTATATTTTTTTTCTTTATTTCAAATACCCGAGGTATTATATGAGATGCAGTATGTTAATTACTATACTTTCCAGAATTTTTGTTTATCAGATAAACTACTTGCGCATGTACTGTAATACTGGCAAGCTGCAGTAAGTTAAAATGCTTTATATTTGTATGAGAGCAAAAAGACAACTGAATATGGTATGCTGAGCTTTTTATTTACATATTCATGCAATACATTGTTTAATGTAGATAGATGTCAAATCACCATTGAGCTGTAAAGTGGACATGTTTTCTATGAAGGACAGTTATGCAAAGTTTATTAGTCTTACAAGTTTTAAGAAGAACTGTTCATACGTTCTAGATCTGACTTCCGAGTATCAATTGCAATCATGGTGTAAGTTGCAATAAGTATAACACAGTGTTTTACTTCTCACATTCTGGACTTGATTTTGTTAATGTTCAAAACATCTATTAACTTGGTTGTAGTGCTGTAAAAATAAACTATTTCAAAGGTATTGTTACAGTATTATTTACAAAGTAAGCATCATTTCATGGTGACATTGAGTTTGAAATGAAACATTGCACAGTAATGTTGCATTTGTAGCTTTCAAAACAGTTCTATGAATTATAAAGGAAATGCAACAACCAATTTGTTGTTCAATCAAAAACCTACTCTAAAGTTCATTTTGAAGTCTCCAGTAACCAAATTGGCACATCTGTACCACGAATGTTATGTGTCATCCTTTCCTTCATTCCAAGGCTCCTCCTTCACAAGGGTACTGTTGAAAATGGATTTCCTCATCCTGGACTTTTCTTCTGCAAGAAAAAATAAAAAAATCAGTACCAAGGACAAGACCAATATACATATATACTTTTTAGTATGTTGATGGTAAAAAAAAGCTGACTTCAGTTAAAAAGTTGCAAATATATTGACACATGAGCTAACTGTACAGCTGCCCTGTACACCTTACTACATACATAAACAGATAGTACTGATAAAGAATGATCATAGAACTGACCTTTGCTAGTGCACCTCAGCAGCAAGGTGGGTAGGACTTGTCTGTTGTGCTGTACCAGCCACTTCTGACAGGCCCTTATACTTCCTTAAGAATTATTTGGGGAAAGGAGGACGCAAATAAGCTGGTGTGTTACGCCAAAGGGGGTTATACTGGCTATATCAAGACAAATACAGAAATAGAAGGACAGTATGATCCATACTGGTAAAGTTTGATGAAAGTAATTTTTAATGTTACCAGCTCCAGTGCAGGTATGGCAAAAAAAAAAATATATATTTTGAGCCGTGTACCTCCTACATGCAGAGTTCTGAGGAAACATGGCAGCTGTCCCCCCTTGCCATCTGGCAGGTGTTTGATGAAGGGAATGGCAGATGTCAGCAGTTTCAGGTTCTCCCTCCGACACCGTACCATCACCATCCGTGTGTACTCATTGATGTACTTCACTAGGGGTGGAACAAGAAAGAATCTTACCAAATCAGCTGTGTAAAGTGTCTTATGAGAAAGCAAACATGAAATTCCTTTATATTTCATCCTTCCTGACAGGCTGCGCAACAAAAAGTGTGATCATAAGGAAGGCATAGAAAATTTCACATATGTACTTCATATTATGTATTTCATAATCTCAAAGCAGCAATGCATGCTGGCAAGATAGGATGGGAAGGTTCTGGCAAGATAGTTGTAGGTCGGAAAAAGTTTACAAAAGTAACACTCTTTTTTCTAGGTATCAGGACGACTCGGACCATTACCAACTCAGCCCATGTCAAATCTGGTCAACTCGACCCACCGGTCTGGTCAACTCGGCCCAACACCCTCTGGTCAACACCCTCAGTCCTGGTCAACTCGGCCCAACACCCTCTGGTCAACACCCTCAGGCCTGGTCAACTCAGCCCAACTCCCTGGTCATTTGGGCCGAGTTTGTAATAGTCTGAGTCGTCTGACATTTTTCCTGAGCACATCTGCTTGGAGATTGTGGCTCATATGACTATAACTCACCTGACAGTCCAGGTGTGATGAGTCCTATACCGTATCTACCATGCAGCTGTTCTATGATGTCCCGTACTGCAGCATACACTACACGCTGTGTGATGTTGTATATCAACAGGTCCTTGCCGAATATTAGCTCAGCCAAGACATACCTGCAAAATTAAAGAGTTACAAAATAGAAGAGTTACAAAATTTAAGAGTGCATTACTAAGTCATTATCTTTTTGTTTTGGTCAGCTTTCATGCATTCATAGTATTGAAATATGATAGAACCGGTTCACCTTCACAGGATCAAGTAATATCTGCGATTGTAATGTCATCATCTATATCCATGAAAGCTATATTCTCTGCAAATTTTGTTGATAAGTGCCCCCCTCCCCCAATTTTGATAGCTTAAATTAGTATTTTGTATAAACCATATACAGGAATACCCGTTTACCTGTGTTTGAAGCGAACCATCCTCAAAGATTATATCAAAACACATGTGTCCTTGGACAGTAAAGGTTTCACACCCGGATATTACTCAAACGTTTGGTCCAAAAATAACGTGAACAACACCGGACACAAACACACGAGATACTTGGTCAGGGTCAGAGGTTACCAGACTCGCCAACTATTTCAAAGGTACATAAAAGCTTCTTATGTCGTTAGATCCTAGTCATCATCGTTAAAAATATAACTATTTGATACAATTACTCACATAAAATATTATTTTATTTGCAGTATTTTTAATGAAATGGGCATCTAATTACGGGATCTATTCAAAACCTCCCCATAATAGCACCGAAATGGAATAGTCTAGGAAATATGGATCTGGAAAGCGTGCGTGACCACACGGTTTGTTGTTGGGCAAAGGTTAGTAATAGCGCAGGCGCAGAGGGCCCAGTTTTAGTATATAGAGATGGCAATGTAATGTAGAGTGTAAAGAAGTCTTTTTCTAGGGAAATGTTGTTGTTTTGGACTTGGATGTTATAGGTAAGGGTTGTAGTATTTTAATTTTGGTGAAAAAACAGACTTGCAGCCATGTTTGTGTTGTCTGGCTGGCTGAAGAAGATATAGGTTTACATGCGGTCATCAGCTGTCCAGAGAGGTCAGGGGTCACTTCTCAATGTTTGGGTAGAATTCTCGCATGGTTTAGGTGCGTAGGATTTTGTCATTTTTTGGGAATGGAGACTTGAGAGGTTGGCCTACCCTGCCAATGTATGTTCTTCAAGGTCTAAAACTCAGGTATATGAATGTTGACCACGTTGTTTTGACATAATTCCCATATATTAACATAGGAAAGCCCTATTACTGTGCTGTGCCCTGTTACACATCGATTTGTGAAAATTTACTCAGACGTTTGATATACAGTTTCTGGTAAATTTCTGTTTACGTTTAGGTAGATAAAAGTTTCATCGACCATATATTTGAATGCAAATGCTTTTAAATCTTCCACGGACTTCTATATAAATTTGACACAGTCATTGATTATCAATGTTACAAATTATTGACTGTTGCATGTGTCCAGATCTTCCTGATATTTTCAACCATGTTTTCCCCCAACTCATTCGTTTCATACATGGCGATAATGTCAGAATCAACTGTTTCAGGTAAAACTCACGGCACATTGGTCAACTTGTTTAAACGTCATGAAAGCTACGCACAACACCTGATGAGACAAGATGCCTCGTTCAAGGTCACCCATCTCCTCAGGTCCCAGGCAGGAAGGTCATTGGTCAAGGTCAAGGATGGACAGGAGAGATAGGTCACATGACAGGGAAAGATCTCACTCAGGCTCAACAAGGAACAGATCTCAAAATACACCCAGGTCTCCAAGAGATGAAAAGGACTTTAGAGAAAGAACACAGTCGAGGACAACCTCTAGGGACAGTCAGAAAAGTAGAAGCGTCTCCCAGTCATCTTTGGCATCCAAAGACTCTGAAAGGAAGAGACGGCAAAGCAGACACTCTTCAAGTAGTAGCAGTAGTTCTGAGTCCAGTGACTCAAGTGTGGAAAGAAGAAAGAGGAAGAAATCAAAAAGGAGGAGAAAAAGACGAAACAGTAGTTCGTCATCTAGTTCTTCTTCATCGGAAGACACAAGAGGCCACAGCAAAGGGAAAGTGAAAAAGAAAACAAGAGATAATGAAACCTCGAGCAGTGAAAGTTCTTCTGACAGTTCTCAAGAGAGGAGGAGAGCAAAAAAGAAACTGAGAAAGGAAAGAAAGAAGAAGAAAAAGGCTGAGAAGAAAAGAAAGAAGAAGGAGAAGAAGCAAAGAAAAAAGGAAAAGAAGAGGTTATCAGAGATGGCAGAAAGTGGAGTGGTGCAGGGACCTATGTTAATCCCACCTGCAAGTGTTAATGAAGCTAAGCCTAAGGGTTCGTCTATTTAATAATCAATTCTATACATGGCAACAAGCAGCTGTTATTGTCATTGAATTAAAGCTGTGCAAGAGAGATGAGGAAGAGTTGAACTAAGTGTAAAAGTCACCATCTTCCCCAGTATTTTCCCTGTACTTTTTTGAACTCCGTGTAGTTTCATTTTCTTACACATTTTGATAGCAAATTATTGTGTTATTGTATTGTGAAATGTATTTTTGTAAAATCAAAAAACTAGCTGTTGTATCTAGTTTCTAGTTAGGCTGGAGTCCAGCCTTGTTAGCTTTGATGCTTTTAATCCTACATTTCTGTTTTATGTTTCCTCTAGATGATGGAGAGAAGGCTCGCTCCATGCGCCCAATGACAAAGGAAGAGTGGGAGAAACAACAGAGTGTTGTTAGAAGAGTGTTCGACCCTGATACTGGAAGAAATAGGTACAGTGCCCACCACAATAATTACATTTATGAGCCTTCAGATAAACTGGTCATTAGGCCTAGGAAACATTGCTAACAACACATTGAGCTGCTGTACAGTGCATGTACTAGTAGGGCTGTTTGAAAAACAATCATCATACATGTGAATATGGCATTCCATAATTTTTTTATTTTCATGAATTCATTGTTAGGCTGGTAAAAGGAGATGGGGAGATTATTGAAGAAATTGTGAGCAAGGAGAGACATAAGCAGATTAACTAGGTGAGCTCCAGACCATGTTAATCCTTTAGATTTCTTCATATTCATTAAATCTGTTTAATACTTTCATCAGGTTGGTAAGCTACTGAATAAAGAGAGTCTTGTTATCTTACACAACCAAGACTTGTTATTCAGCCAACAGTGAAGTAGGTGACAGACATTAACCAAAATGTGATGGCTGAATAAAACACTTGGTTGTGTGAATTAAGAGTCTCTTTATTCAGAATAATTGAATGATTGTATGCAGTAATTGAGTAAAATGCATGTTCTATGAGAGACACTTGTTGTTGTATAGGCTGGAAATGAAATTATACCTTGCTTTCAATAAAGTAGTACCAGGATGATTTAGGAACTATGACATCATTTGTATGTATGACCAAGTACTAACATCTTTTGTGTTTTTCCATCCCTGCAGCAAGCCACACAAGGAGATGGACTCAGCTTCATGCGGGGTCTGGGCCTGAATAAATAAGTGCATGAAAGTTTGAGGTGTTATGAGTTATAATATAGTTAGTGGTCAGTAAGATGTATTTTCTTTCACTAGTGTTATATACACTGTCAAAGTTAGATACAGACACAAATGCATCCACAAGAGCTTCATATTGAAAGCCATGGATGTTTCTTATGAGCTCAGGATAATGCATGTCTAGAAATTTGTTATCACCTATTACTGGTAAATTGAGTTAAACAATGATAAAAATGGTAAAGACCTATGCCTTGATGATGGTAATAGCTATCAGGATGTAAATGAATTTAGAATTGATAAGAATGACCCTGACTATTCTACATAAACGTCCTTGGAATGACCTTGTGTTGATTTATGCTTTATAAAGATTTTTTGCTGAAGTTGCAGTCTCATTTCTTTTTCTGTTGTTTGGAGTGTAACAGGATAGTTGAGTTCATCACCAAATCTGGATAATTCTTGGGAAAAGTCTTCATCAGGGAAAGTTTTCTTCAGCCTATACCCAAGAAAAAATGTTGCGTTCAGTACCAAGGACAGATGTGTTCGCCTGTGTGTGGATGGCGTTCACTACCAAATGACAGATGTGTTTGTGTGTGGATGGCGTTCAGTACCAAGGACAGGTGTGTTTGCCTGTGTGTGGATGGTGTTCAGTATGAGCATACAGACACAAACCATCATAACAGTTATATAGTGACATGCGTAAGCATTCTGATGCCTTTTGTGATAGGGCTTCTGGAAAAAGTGTTCCCAGTCTAAATAGAAAACAATACCTTTCCCAGCACCCTAGTAGCATTCTCTTTGCATTAGCTGCATCTACCAAAAAGTGATGACACCATAAACCACATACTAGTAGTCATCCTTGACTACACCAAGGATAATTTGTTTGTTTACAAAGTCAAGTGCTCCTTAGCATCTACGAAAAAAAGATTTTCTTGAGCATACTGATCTTACATAGTGATGGCATACATTCTCCTTGCTTTTTAGTAAAGCGCTAAATGAGTTTTGTACTGTATGAAAAGTTACGAAAGACGGAAAAGACCGATTACGTATGTCCTATTTTTAGCCAATCAGGCATGAGCATGACGTCACGTACGACCCTTTATAACCCCTGGGGGCCGCCATCTTGGATTTGTCAAAGCGTAGTGCACTCGTGCGAACCTCGAGAGTCGTCGGTGTTTTGTGGACAATTTCGTTGATAATTCTCTCATTTTACAACCAAAATGCCTCGCCGTGGTGGTGGTGGTTTCAGGGCTCGTACTAGCTCGCCTCCCCCTGTGGCCAGAGCGCCTCCAAGGTAAGCTAGACTGAGTTAGGGTTACGTTCTCTGATGTGATGAACTTATGAAGGTCAGTTTTTCCAGAACCATCGCGTTGAGTTTCGTCGTCCCAATCGGGTCAAAAGACTTTCCAGGAGGACATGGGGATCTACGCTTTGTCGAGATGTTCCAAAGCATTGACATAATCTTTTTGTTAATCTAAAATAAGTACTTTGGAACTTGTAAGAGGGAACGGTCATGAATGTTATAAAAATGATGAAATCATGATAATGCACCATGTAACGTTACATATATGTGTGTGTGGGTGGGGGGGGGGG